CATATTATAAATACAAACCAGAAATCATACTTGACTCTCGCGAATTCAAACTCTACTGGGACAGAACTATATTAACTGATAAGACCGTGCATTATAATCGACCGGATATTACGCTACATGACGAAAGAAACGTATTAGTTTATCTTATAGATATTGCTATACCAAACACTCACAATTCGACCTCTACCTACAATGCAAAAATAGCCATATGTATATCGAAATAAAATCCCAGTGGAAAGTAAAAACTGTAAAAACTATACCTATTATAATATCAGCAACTGGCGTCATTCCCCACTCACTCTTTTCTAGCTTAAAGGAACTAGATATCCATAAACTTATCTTTATATCACTACAGAAAGCCACAATATTGAATACTTGCAGAATAGTTCGTAAGTTCCTGTCTAAAAATTAAAACACTTAACCGATTTCGTTTGGCTAACAGCCCGCGAAAAAGGTATAATACCTCGGGAACGAGAGAATACTGAACAATAACAATAATAATAATAATAAAGCCCTTTATTCCGATCTAATAGCATTTAACATTAAAACTTTAGATAAAAGAATCTACTAACTACAAAATGTCTCTTAGTTCGGCGTGCCTATTGGCAAAGGCCTCCTCCAACGATTTCCATTGTTGTCTATCTTGAGCAACCCTTCTCCAGTTTGGTCTGCTGTAAGTTTTATTTCGTCTTCCCACCTTGCATGCTGCCTTTTTCGTCTTAATTTGCTGTCCCTTGGATACCATTCTGTTACTCTCCTGCTACATTTTCCCATCTTGTCACGCATCATATGTCCTGACCATCTCCACTTCTGTTGATCGATTCGTTTGAGTATGTCAGTAAGTTTCGTTGAATTCCTAAGGTCAATATTTCTGATCTTATCCTGTCTTTTATAGCCGGTCATACTCCTCTCCATTGCTCTTTGTGCCACTGCAAGTTTTTCTCTCAATACCTTTACTTTTGTGATGGTCCAGGTTTCGTATCCGTATATTAGACAAGGTAAAATGCAAGTATTAAATGCTTTCCTTTTTATTGACATGCTTAAGTCTTTGGACTTCATGATATCTTTTAATGACCAGTATTTCTTCCAAGCTGTTGCGATCCTAAAGTTAATTTCTTTCGTCATTTAATCTTCTATGGAAATTACTTGACCCAGATATATGTAGTCTTTTACATATTCTAGAGTATCGCCGTTTATTGTGATGTTAAAATTTGTACTGAGGATAAATAAATATTAAATAAAGATAAATAATAATAGAATCCAAAATGTCTATAGCCTACCATTGTGCTACAAAAATCGTTATTTTTATGTCCAGTGTAGCGAATTAGTATAAATAATGGCATAATAAAACACCAGATTTTACCGTAAAAAACGGACGAGCGATTTTTTCTATATTCTCTTTTAACATATTGCTTATGAGAAAACCTGATCAGCCAGAAGATTTCACCGTTTATATGTTGAACCCTCTATAATTATATTTCTTCCAAACACAGTTAAAGTTTTGAGCAAAATAAGCATCATCTTTTAATGTTCTTTGCAATTTATATAAAATTCTCCTTTAAAAATCCAGTCATTATATATAAAAATAATAAAAATGTTGGATTTTATAAAGTTTAAAGTAAAATGTATAATTTAAAATACAAATCACCCGTTAAGTTTTGTTAGCTTTAATCGGATAAGTTAGAAAATAATGAGTCAATCAATTGCGCCTTATAAGCTCTTCGAGTGAGATCGCCTATTCTAACAGTCTGACACTTTACGTCAACTCTACTATAGAGAGTTATGGTTACAAGCTTACGAGCGCTGGTAACGCAACATATCCTTATACATCAGACATAGTTACCGGGCGAGATGCCATCAAATCCAGTGAGCCAAACAAGTTTCATCCAGAGCTACCAAGTACGGAATTTTCTTGTAAGTAGAATGTCAGTACTGTTACAACACCTTCATTTCAACCCACCTGATGTTTAACAGGGCTTCCTTTATGGCAAACATTGGCAAAATAATGAGATAATTAAATTGCCAACAGTAATTTATTTTCATTATGTCGTTTTTAAAGAGTTTCTACTGACTAATGCGAATAAAAATATTTGTCTTGATAAACGGATCATGTTGCAAACATTTCATTTTCTAAAAAGACTATTAACCTACTAAAACATAGAACTTATTAAGTGTTCGCACAATCAACATAGCCTATATAAACTTCAACGAGCTTCGTTCTAATCATGAGACAATGCAGGCGTTTAATTGTATCTACTAACGCCATCTACCGAGAACACTAAGAAATAATACAATACAACAGGGGTTTGATCAATAAATAATGCTCAAATAATTCAGTCATAAATGTAATATTACATACCAAGTCAATTGTTTTTGTTGATATCGATAATGTTCATCCTATGTACCCTTAATAATATTATTACAAATCAAATAAATAAAACATGTTGCATTTTTACTATACTTAGATACTTGCTACACAATAACAATAGGTATACAACAATACAAAAGAGGTTAGGTACCTGTTCAATAAAAATTTTGCATAAAAACGGCAAACAATATTTTATCGAAGTTATTATGTTATTTTTTTCAATCTTAGGGAAATAGAGGCTAAATACAAAAACTCACCAACAATAATTTCAAGGATTAATCCGTTTGAAATGATTATCTAATCATCATAGTCTGTGATTATAATTCAAATAAAGTCTACTTTTATTTTAGACCACGATGACTATCGATTTCCTGGGAAGGATTACCATATTCGCGAAAACACAGAGGCAATCATTCGTTCAAAAATAGACTCTATTCCAATGGTTTCAGTGCTCTACTCTAAAATATACCTATAACAACGTTACTACCACTGTGGTGTTCAAGTTTGAAAAGTAAGGGAGCGAGTAAAATTATTGTGACTAAAGACTTCGAGATGTTTTATTTTAGTCGTCAAAAGTGTAAGTCAATGCATTCACGGCATTCGCTGTTAGAACTTACATTCAGCTCGTCTGTCAGCTGTATCTGTATCTGTGTCAGAAGGATTCAAAAGTAAATCACAAGACATGCAAATCCAAAAATAAAACCAAATCTGTGTTTTTGACTGTATTACTTTAACATCAGTTATCAATTATTATCATGTAATTACATATAGCAACGATGTAATAACCATAAAAACGAGCTTAGCATAAATAAATTAGACAAAATATTTTTTTTTTTTTTTGTTTTTCTTTTTCTGGGTTGTGTCTTTGTGTTCGCCATATTTTTCCCATAAATCATATTTTGGAACCCTCCTTAGGGGGGGGCGAGGGGAGATTAAAAATAAAAAAAATTAAATTTAGGGGAGGGGGGGGCTCTTTTTTTTAAAATAAACCCTTTTTTCTTGGGGGGGGTTTGGGGTAGGGGTCTCCCGTCCCTGGCGGTTGTTGCCTGTTTTAATATAAATAATCATAAACTAAATTATCATTAGTTATGTAATTCGACGCAGATTTAAAAATGTACGGAACTAAATATGGATTTGTCTAGAACGCTGGTTCATGTAAATGCTGGAAAATATTACAGCGCAACGTTTTTCGTTGTTTGTGTAGTATACAGATCTTTTACCGCGTCTGGGTACACATGTCTGGAGGCTGACTTTGGTAATGTTATTTACAATTATTGTAATGTTATTACATTTAGATTTATTCCGTCACCGTTACAGCCTATTGAAGTCCACTGCTGAACATAAACCTCCGGCATAGATTGAATCATAAGGGGATATTTGCCATAGTTGGCACGCTTGGCAAGGGGTTAGTAACCGAAGTCTTTTTTTATTTTCAGTCGATATTAAGAAAAAGTTGCTACCCATCTGATTTTTTCCCAAGTTTTATTCTGTGTAAGTATATTGTGTTGTGTTATGTCTTTTATGTATAGGTATAGTTACTCCTTTCATTGACGATGTCGTGGTACCCGGCTTTAAACTACTGGTTTTTTTATAGAATTCAGACTATAAACGAACACGCAGTTCAGCTGACGATAAGTGGACGCTGTGGCCCATAGAGATCTACATTTATACTCGATTAAGAATCAAAACGCAGATGCGTTGTAACACCGGAGAACTAAGATGGAATCTCTATTATCTTGATGTTAGTGCTGTTAGTCTATGCGACTCTTACAGCTTCATCTTGTCTAAGGGCTGGGTGGGTAATTAAAAAGGGAAAGGCAATGAGGTGAAAATGATGATGAGATGGTTTATGATTTGATATTGTTACCAATCATCATGTCGCCTTTTAGGCGTTTTTTTCTTTGAGCTATCTAACCGCAGTCCGAGGGGGGATGCCGCTGCGGGTAGAGACGGGGGTCCCCCCGTCTCTGACTGCTCAGCTCGTGTCGGTTGATGGTCTGGGCGGTGAGAACCGTCCAGGAACGCGGGTGTACGGTGTGTACGCGGCGTGAGCTGAAACGCGTCGCGCCCGTCTGCGGGTGCGACGCGTCTGTTGTTTGGGGTGTACAATTTTTTTTTTTTATTTTTTTTTATTTTTGGGGTAAAAAATGTGTATGTATCAGTATCTGTATAATAGTAGCCGACATACTTCTGTGGTAGGCTGGCCATATAGCTGGAGGACAATCAAAAGAAAAAAAGGGTTCTCAAATGACAGCCTCATACCGGTAAGCGAAGTGTAGGGTGGCCTCTAACTAGATGGAGTGACACGCCCGTAGATACATATATCTGAGGACTGTGTTTTGTGGTATTTCTTCAGGGAGGACTATGTTCAGCAGTGAACTTGTGAAGGGTTGTACGATGATGACGATAATGATGAAAACGATGATGGTGATGGTGGTTATGGTGGTGATAATGATAATGATGATATATTTCTACAAAGAATAGAACACAATAAAATATCAAAAAAATCGGGTTACAGCTGTCTGTAGATTGTAACCAATCAAAGATGCAAGAGACTCACATTAGTTGCACGTTCAGTTTCACTCTGTAAGTCATCACTATACCTTATCATGACACAAAGAAACCTACTCACCCCAGTATGTTCGTTAACGCCAACAATGACCGCAGTGTACCACTGCGTAGCGCCAGCCGCGCGGTAGACCTGCGCTCGACAGCCGCCTAGAACCGACGGCGTGCTGGTCAGGATCCTTTGTCCGTCCTGCATGGTCCGCCACTCTGTGGCCTCTGCCGACAGCGACGACAGCATGTCGGCGCTGATGCCCGCTTCTGAGCCTGCCAATCGCTCGTCCCATTCCTGAACGGAAATCAAAATTACTTAATTACGCAGGGAAATTTAAATGGGATAGTTTTTAAAACAGTAAATCTAAATTCAAATTTAAAATTTCAAAATAATGAACACTGGTTATTAAAATACTACGTGGGCTGTGAGCGACAACAAGGTCCGAAACAGTCACTAATAAACACTAATTTTATATACCATATATTTATAACGAGCAGCATTATTTGAGCCACCTATTCTCTGTTCGAATAACCTTATGTTTCGCATTATATTCAAGATTTAAATTAGATAACTTGTTATTTAAACTGATCTGCACTTTACTCAAAATGACGTAATTAATAAAGCTCAATCTCACTCAATTTTATCTTTTTAACAACTTTGTCTATTTCATATGTTTTGAATACAAAGCCGTACTTAACCTAATAACAATCAGTATTTCTCGTTGCTTCACTTGTTCATTTATTATTCATATTGCTCTCTTAAAATTATGTATATTTGCACTTTTTCAATCCATTTTAAGCTTTTTTATCAATCAACAATAGTCAGACAGAGCAGTAAATTGTTACAAATATAATAAAATGCTAACGAAGTCAGTACTGTAGAATTTCGTTATCAGTCAGTAACATTTTTTACCGCTCGTTTAATAATTTTCCACGATGTGTGAACATATAATAATGAATGTATTAAAATTGTTTATCACGTTTAAAAGCCTTTGCAACTAGAGATTAACAAAGAACGCATGAATATATCACTTTTATTATTGAACTTTGAAGAATAACTTATCGACAGCGATTGTAAACTACAAGTTACAAGTATAAATATTTGTTTATAATTTATAAGTACTAAACCTCTTTAAAATCGATTAAATCTGCCATAATCTGGTGTCATGACTCATGAGTCATGACCTTATATTATAAAGAGAAATAAATTGTTTTGATTATATGGCAAATCACATTATTTTAAGAATAGTGAACGAGTAAAAAGTACGTAAAATAATGTAATATTTTGATAAAATTATATTAATAATATTGTAACGAGATTTTATTGGGTTATTTAGAGTATGTTGCCACAGAATTACACTTTTAAGAATTCATATGGCAGATATTACGTGATAAAGCCACACTGCAGCTATAATATAGTTGTATCACGAATCCTAGATCACAGGCTCGACCAGGACAGGACTACTCTCTCGCAGAATATCAACGTAAAATAGCAGCGTAATGCTGCTGTGTTTCCTATGGTTAGTGTAGAGAACCGGAAACCCCATTTACTGAAATTGAGACATTCCATCTTAGTCCTCGGGGGTGACAACGCATTTGCATATTGATTCTTGATTAAGGATAAATGTGGATGTCTATGAGCCACAGCATCCACTTACCATCATGTGGATTGTGTGCTTGTTTGTCACCCAATGCTATAAAAAAAGATTTACATCAGAATTTTCGTCGAACACTTCAGTCAACATTGCTACAAAGTACGAGACAAATATAGATAACAATTGTACATTAGCGAATGCCGCTGTCTCAATTGTGAAAGATAATCATGTCAAAGTGTCAATCACAGCTTAGGAGCTTAAATATATAAATCTAAAAGAACAGTAGGTATAAGGTCTGCAGTCTAACTGATATATTATATACACTACAATAATAATTATGATAATTATATTACTGTGTGACAATAATTAAATGCACATTTAAAATTAAAATAACATTGCATTTATATGTTATTAACACCAAAAAGAATAAAAAATAATTTAAAACATGTACACTTAAAAGTAAGTTAGCCTTTACGACTACGATAAACGGTTTCAATTGCATATTCAACATTACTAATGTGCAGTAGCTATGTGTTTAATTCCAGAATCATAATCGAGAACACTATGCCCATAAACAGCGCATTTAAAATAATGGTATGTCGGGCGTGACTTGTAAACATTTTGACCCACATTATCGGGCAGTTGCAAAACGTTGCTCGATACCTTTATAAAATACTTACACATGTTCCATTACTCCGCCTTACAAAGTATTCTAATAAAATGTAGGTTCTTTATAGCGCACATCGTCGACGGAGCTTAGAGCATAAGGCATATTTATGTCAATGTTACAGCGATAGGTATATGTACAGATGGTGTACATTGTACAATGTAAATGTACGGGAAACACACACCTGAGTCGGTGCATACGCGAGTAGGCCCCTGCGACAGACGTATCCGGTGCGTTGAACTCGCCTCCACCTCTCTCCCTCCCTCCCATTTACCATTCTCCATCCACCTATTATATATTCTTGTGTAGCAGACTTTACCGGTTGCTCTATTACTATAGAGCTATTGAGACATTTACTAGCGGTTTTATTGAGGTTCTATTGTGAAACTAAAGACAAAATATAAAACCGATTTTAATGCCAATATATACAACACACCTAACTTTCTAAGTGAATGTAGATTATACCGTATAAAATGACGTTTTATTAGTAGATAGTTTTTTTAAAGTATAAGGGTGACAGACGAGCACACAGGTCCACCTGATGGGAAGTGGATGCTGTAGCTTATAGATATCTACATTTAGCCAGGATTAAGAATTAAAATGCAGATGTGTTGTCACCCTTGAGGACTAAGAAGGAATGCGTCGATTCTAGTAAAATGGTTCTCCGGTTCTCTACACTCATGATTCGAAACACAGCAGCATTAAGCTGCTGTTTTACGCTGGTAATCTGTGAGAGCGTGGTCCTTCCCCGGTCGAGCCGACCAATTTATGCTTACAACCACAATATCTACAGCGTGGCTCTACCACGTATAAAACATAGATAAATAATTTGTAAGTATACCTAATAGATTAAATCTTAAAATTTAGCAGAATAAAATAATAAATACTGTCAAAACAACGATGAAAACAATAATTTACAAACCACGTGTAGCATACGAGCAACGAATATCCAATTAGTGGACTACGCAACAGAATTAAATAATTAAAGTTGCCAGAGCGCTCGTGCCCTTACAGTTTTTCACGGCCAAGCAATTTTCACCGAGTAATCCGTCGGTTACGACACCGTAATCGTTTGTATTCGTGTGCCAGTCACGCTCTGATGCGCGCCGAGCTTAGCATCGATGACTCAGCGAGGTTACGCAACGCGTCTTTCCGTTTATTTTGCCCGCTCACGGCTCACTCTATTTGGTGAGATTACACTTCTTGATTAATGCGATTCGAATTCTATTCGAGGACTTTACCTGCACTAATTCCTGAGAGAGAGTGTACATTTTGTAAGCACTAAATAACGAATACAATTTATCTTGTTATTACAGTATAACTGCAGCATGGCTCTACCACGTATAGACTCTCTCTCCTCTCAGGGTTGTCGGCTTAGCCGACAGTCATTGGCAGCTCCATAGCAGTCTATAGGAATGTACAACGTTCTTGTAACTCACAGAAGTTAGAGCTTGTAACCTTTTCAGAAATCAACTCTTTTATCCCTGGAGCCGACAAGCTAGATCTTCGTTTGTTTGGTACAACTTTGCCCCCTTTCATATTTATGTTTTTGGATATCCCACCAAAAACAAAAATTACAAATATGTAGATATATAGTAATTAATAACTATTTAGTTATGGTGGCTCCAAAGTGGCTGAAAATAGTTCGTGTCACACTGCCGTGTATTTGTCTTAAATATTTACTATAAATATGATTTATATGAAATAGAATATGTAATAGAACTTTTAACGCTTTTTAAAAGTACATCCAATTATAATGTTTTTATTATACTTTCAGTTGTTACATATTTTTCACATATTTTTCTCAGCATTATTTGTAGAACCAAAGCTGCCCAAGGCAATAAGTAAACACGGCATTCTGGGGTTATTTTAGCCCTTTTCGGCTTTTAACTTTAACGAATCTTTGGCAGATGAGTACATCTTGGTCTTTGTTACACACAAATAGTCCGACTTGTCAAAAACTGTATCCGTATGATATATATTAAGAGTACCCTTAACCGAAGAGCACGTATGCGTAGGTATGGAAGAGGTGTGAAAGAGGCGATAGAGGTATGTCAGGATCGTGCTAAATGGAAGTCTGTAGTCTCTGCCTACCCCTTTTGATTACAGGCGTGAATGTTTATGTATGTATATATATATTATATATATATATATATATATATATATATATATATATATATATATATATATATGCCAAGTTTTATTATTCTGCCTTTCATTCCTACACACTGTAAAAGACAATAAAATATTAATAAATAAATAAAGCTCAGAATGAAAGTCACCTAGACTTCGTTTCTGTCTCTGTTTCTCATCGCAGTAACAGGGTTCTCACAAGGAAGCTATTAGATCTGGCACACATTCGCCCCCGGTCTCTCATTCAATTTCCTGCCAGCGCTCGTTGATAAGTGCACTCATGATGCGATTCTTGATAATGGACGCTGCACTTATAGTAATGGTACAAATAGTAATGATTATGTTAAATAACTTCTTTTTAAGTACCAAAATATAGTTAATTTTAAAGGAAATGGGAAATAGGAAAATTAATAATATTTTCATAAAAACAGATTTGATTTTATGTTACTATCCTATAATACATATTTACTTTTCCATAAAACTATTCAAATGACATATGGTACGAATTTTAATTACAAAGATAAAAATCTTTTAAGTCTACCTAAATCAGTCTACCTGTAAACAAGTCTACCTGAATCAGCAGTTTATTACGATCTTATAGTACTATACTAGTAGTAATAAAAATATAATAATACTAACATACAATGTTAACATAGTAAGAGTAATATCGACACAGGAACGTAAATGTAATTCATTAATCTAATGCAAAATTAGGCAACAAAAAAGGGTAAGGGCCTTTATAAAAAAGTGAAAGATAAAGTAATAATAATAGCCCTCTAGTCGAATAAATGTCATGTACAGAAATAAAAATCAATATAACATTCAATCTACCGAGGTATTTCTGACATAAAAGGAAGCGATCAAGAATGTTAAATAACGCGCCGTAATATAGGAACCGAA